TGTGGACAGTGTGGACTGTGGACTGTTCTATCTAAGTGTGGACAGTGTGGACTGTGTGGACTTTTCTAACTAAGTGTGGACAGTGTGGACAGTGTGGAGTTGTATAACTAAGTGTGGGCAATGCGGACTATGGCATAGCAAATGGTGTTTAAATTGGAAAATTATTGAAACATGCACGTTTGGTAAAGCGGCCGGTAATTAAACTGACACTGATGACGTAGTCTGTGCTCTCCTACCCGAGGAAGCAGCCGAAACGTTTTACTTTTATTAATTAAGAGTCCGCGCTTAGTCAGGTTTGCCCACGGATTAGCTATTTCGTCAAGATCAATCGTGTCTGGTTATAGATCGTGCTCACACGCAAGAGTCAAGAGTTCACCAAGGCGTTCCTGGTTCATTACTAAACGCATAACAGTTTTCACTGATTTCAGCTTTGAAAAGCTGCGCTCGGCTGATGCGGATGTTACAGGAACTGTCAGGCGCGTAACTATAGGATTCTTGATTGACCGAGACACTTCTGGGGGGGGGGGTCTGGGGGCATGGTCCCCGAGAAAATTTTTGATTTTCTAAGGCTTAGAAACGTTATTTCCTGCATTCTGGGAGCAGTTCAAACGAAATATCAATTTCATAAACAGTGACACAATGACTATAATTTATACTGTAGTTTGTCCCCAATCCTGAGGCTAAGAATTACAAATATTTTTGGTCGAACATCTTTGATCAGGTGCATAATAATAAAGTGTTTGTGCTCAATTGTTGTAATATTTGGGCGCTGGCCCGCACTTTTGTTATTGGGGTACTTGTGCACCCACACAGCCTCCCATTTCTTACGTCACTGTAGGGCAAGAATAATGCTTCTTTACATAGAGAGAACTACAATCTGTCATTGAACTTCAACTCGATTGGCTCATATACGTAGTTACGGGCCTGATTGTAAGCAACAATTGGAAACATCGCCTAGTCAGTGGAAACAATTTTTCGCTCCGTGATTTCAGATAAACCAGTGCGTTGTTCACTGATCGAATTTCTTGATTGCAGTAGGCACATAAAACTCTTTGGTAACAAAATGCATATGCATATCGTGTTACATGTGAACATACTTCCTAATATAACTCAGCTAGAAATTCATTTTTGCACTTTGCATCTTAAAAATATAGTTTAGGGACCGGAGAAATATTGTAACTAATGTTAGCTATTTTGATCGCGATTTATCGCATTTTGGAGTCTGATTTTGGGGGGTTGAAATTTTCGCTAATATAGATCAATATCACCCGTGAATGACCTTGCAGAACCTAAGTTCCAAATAAAAGTGCCAACACATAATCGTGACAAATAGATATCTCCATGTTTGGAAAGTAAATGGAAACTTCATCCCCTTGCGAGTGTTTTGACTGATAATTCGTTCATAAAGTCGCGAAATAAGTACGTAATATTTCTTCATATTATTTCTGTTTGAGCAAATTTTCAACTCAATACTCAATAGTTTGAGTCTATCTCGAGTTTCGAAAATATTTCATTTGCTTCGCAAAGCACTGCATGTAAACAAACGTATAATTTTGAGACCGACTGCTCGACCGACTGCACGTAGTTTGAGACCGACTGTATCATTTCTCTGGGGGGTGAACCACCCCGCCCCCCCCACATTTACGCCCCTGATTCGACTGGTTATATTTACATAAATAACCTGAGTCTACACGGTTGGCACAAAAGACAGCAAATTCGGCCACGTACAAATAACTTTCTGTCGTTAGTTTGGAATATCATGAAACTTCATCATAGGATAGAACTTGCCATTCCTAAAAATCCTATCGTTTTTGTTTTTCGATTTTGTTACATTTTGGCGGGAAAATGACGTGCCAACTTTGGCGCCCAAAAATTAAACACAAGCTAAGAACATGCTAGGAACTTTTTTGAAGAGATTGTCCTATAAGGATCTCAGAACTGTAAAAATATTGAAAATACGCCAAAGCAGTGCAAAGATATGGTGCTTAAAAGTCTGAAAAATCCGCCATTTTGTTACAAAAAATAGATTTTTTTCGAACTTTGAATCGCCATATCTTCGCACTGCCTTGTTTTACAGTTTGGGGATCCTTATAGGACAATCTCTTCAAAAAAGTCACTAGCATGATCTTAGCTCGTGTTTATTTTTTTGGCGCCAAAGTTGGCACGTCATTTTCCCGCCAAAATGTAACAAAATCGAAAAACAAAAACGATAGGATCTTTAGGAATGGCCAGTTCTATTCTGTGAGGAAGTTTCGTGATATTCCAAACTAACGACAGAAAGTTATTTGTAGGTGGCCGAATTTGCTGTCTTTTGTGCCCACCGTGCTATGAGCCTGGAGTTGACCATTGGGAACACTTCAACCCCGAACCAATATTCATTTGTTTCAACATAAACCAATTTAAGTTTTTACATAATAGCGATAAATTTCCATGAGAAAATTGTTTGATGTCTTTGTTGACAAATTGTTCTTGATAGTCCTCGCATACATTAGTTAGTAGAGAGCTTAAGATCCACGACGCGGCCGGCTCAACGACGCGGTCTGAATTTGAGCTCCAAAATGAGTGCTAAGCAATTTCATTACTGTAATAAATGTTTGAATTTTTCAAATAACATTACAAACTGCTAAGTTCTACTAAAGAGATGCAATGCTTGCTACAATTTTGACTTTGAGTAACACCTCTTGGGTCGCAATAAGCTTTCACGTTGCATGCTTGAAAGACGTGATAATGTTTAGTTTAACGTTGTGCTGGGCATGACAAAGTCGTTGAGAATACCCCTGGGACCACAAATTATTCACATTTTTTGTCTTGCATCACAAATTTCTTTCTTTTGCAAGCGCGTCGTTGAGTCGGCCGCGTCGTAGATCTTAAGTTCCCTATCACTGTAAAAACAGATTGGTTGAAATGACCAATTTAAATTGGTTGTCTCAGACGCATTCATTTAACCGATTTTTATTGGTTAAACTGACAACCAATAAATTGGTTAAAATAACCCCCCCCCCCCCAAAAATGGTTAAAACAACCAATATTTTGGTTGTTTTAACCAAATAAAATTGGTCAAAAAGAGATGTGTCTCAGACAACCAATTTGAATTGATTATTTTATTTATTTGTTTCAACATAAACCAATTTAAGTTTTTACATAATAGCGATAAATTTCCATGAGAAAATTGTTTGATGTCTTTGTTGACAAATTGTTCTTGATAGTCCTCGCATACATTAGTTAGTAGAGAGCTTAAGATCCACGACGCGGCCGGCTCAACGACGCGGTCTGAATTTGAGCTCCAAAATGAGTGCTAAGCAATTTCATTACTGTAATAAATGTTTAAATTTTTCAAATAACATTACAAACTGCTAAGTTCGACTAAAGCGATGCAATGCTTGCTACAATTTTGACTTTGAGTAACACCTCTTGGGTCGCAATAAGCTTTCACGTTGCATGCTTGAAAGACGTGATAATGTTTAGTTTAACCCTGGGACCACAAATTATTCACATTTTTTGTCTTGCATCACAAATTTCTTTCTTTTGCAAACTCGTCGTTGAGTCGGCCGCGTCGTAGATCTTAAGTTCCCTATCACTGTAAAAACAGATTGGTTGAAATGACCAATTTAAATTGGTTGTCTCAGACGCATTCATTTAACCGATTTTTATTGGTTAAACTGACAACCAATAAATTGGTTAAAATAACCTCCCAAAATGGTTAAAACAACCAATATTTTGGTTGTTTTAACCAAATAAAATTGGTCAAAAAGAGATGTGTCTCAGACAACCAATTTGAATTGATTATTTTATTTATTTGTTTCAACATAAACCAATTTATAAGTATTTACATAGCGATAATTTTCTATGAGAAAATTGTGTGTTGTCTTTCTTGACAAATTGTTCTTGATAGTCCTCGCATACATTAGTTAGCACCCATACAATGCACCAGATACCAGGAACATGAACAGGTGGGTGGGTGGAAATTTTCTTTCTCGGTAACAAGACATTGCTCTTTGTTGGGATATTTGTCAAAGTGAACTCCCTTATCACATTGACGTTTGTTCTGCGTGTTCGTTGTTGACATATGATTGGTCAGTTGATCTTTCATTCGGTTTACACGTGCCCAGGGAAACATTTGAACTTCGGACTATTGGATATCGCCTTTTTGTGTCTGTTGACAAGCTTATCCTCTCACTATGAGATTATAACCAGGTTGAAGGTGACAAACGTGTTGTCTCATTAACGTTAATTTATATAGTGTTATATATAAATTTTTTTTAGTGCTCAAACGACCACAAAGGAAAGTGAGCTTTCCATATATATATATATATATATATATATATATATATATATATATATATATATATATATATATATATATATATATATATATATATATATATATATATTTATATATATATATAAAACCGGAGTGGAACGGGTACGTAAAAAGCTTACACAATTTTCGGAAAAACTTGATGTGCCTGTGGAATGTATAATTGAGGCCTTGGAGATCTGCCTCTATAAGAATTGTTCCCACATATCAGGGACAATATTGGCTACAAACAGATGGCACTGCAATGGGTCCGACGAATTCTTGCTCATATGCAGATATTGTCGCTGAATATGTTGATTTAAGAGTTATAGAATCTAAAATAAATTTTCCAGAATTGCGGGTTTGGTTTCGTTTTAGAGATGACACATTTGTGCTTTGGAGAGGTACAGTACAAAGGCTTAATAACTTTTTTACTGCCCTCAATTCTTTTGATCAAAACTTACAATTTACAATGGACATCGGTGGAAAGTCTTTGAATTTTTTAGATTTATCTATTACCAATCAGGGTAATTGTTTAGTTACATCGGTGTATAGTAAGCCCACAGATGCCCATGTATATTTAAATGCCAAATCGTGTCATCCAAAGTCTCAGATAATGGGAATAGCAAAAGGAGTAGCGTTAAGAATACGGAGAATATGTTCGGATGAGGATGATTTTCATAACAAATGTAATGAGTATGCTAATTATTTGATAGCCAGTGGGCATGATAAACAGCATGTTAAAAATATATTTGAGGAGGTTGCAGCCATTAGTAGGCATGAAGCCAGGAAAAAAAAAAAAAGATAATAGGAATTTATGTATTTTTTCGAACAAATACAATCCCAGAGGACCAGATATCCGTAAGATCTTAAAAAAACATCATAGAGAAATTATTTGTAACGATGAAAAGGCCATTGAGGTTTTACCAGAGGGAGCCATTTGTGTGGCATATAAACGTAATGCCAACTTAAAAGAATTGTTGGCCCCCTCTAATCCATTTAAAATTAAAAGCCGGTCGTATAGGGAAACTACAGGCTGTTTTAGGTGTAAAGCTAAGCGATGTGACTGTTGTAAAAACTTTTTAGAAGAAGGTTCCACCTTTAGTTCCACAGTTTCTAAAAGAGTATTTCAGATTGGTAAAGATCTTACTTGCACCTCCGATAATGTTGTTTATCTTGCTAGTTGTGTTACTTGCAATTTGCAAGGAGTGGGTTCTACTATCAATTTTAAGACCCGACTCGCTAATTACAAGTCTCACATCAAACGTAATAAGAGAACCTGTGGTATTGTTAACCATTTTCTGGATTGTCATGGGGCTGATTATTCATTGTTGAAATTCATGCTAATTGATCGGCGCCAGGGCAACCTAAGGGAATGTGAAAATTTTTGGATTGGTATGCTATTGACTAATCGAAGAGGACTTAACTCTACGCATGATTTTGTACAACAATAGGATTAGGTTAATTACTTAGCATGCTAAATAGTATAAATGCCATGTGCTGTAACTTAGTTTTTATTCTGAGGAAGGCCGTGTCAAGTGGCCGAAAATTTATTATTTGTATACTTTACTTTAGTCATCTTTAACTAATTCTTCGATACGTAGCCATCTCTTTGTCGTAATATGTATATATATATATATATATATATATATATATATATATATATATATATATATATATATATATATATATATATATATATATATATATATATACATATACATATATATGTATATATATATATATATATATATATATATATATATACATATATACATATAAGCTTTGATATTAGGTATGGCAATGCCAAACGAAGTCTCCTCGAGGGCGAAGGATCCAAATAGGATTCACAGCAAGTACTGTCGTATATACAGGGTGTATCAAAAAAAGTAAGACAATTTTGAAATTGCTCTCAATTCCACAATTCTGTTCATGAAATGTAATTTTTTATATGTATGGATTGCTTGAGTTCTTAAATTATGGAAAATATAAAAAAATTTGAAAATAGTAAATTTTGCTATCCAGGGGGTGGTCAACTTTTGCTCT